CCCTAGTAGCGTCCTTGCTCCTAGTAGCGATGCCCTTTGTTCCTAATGGCGTCCTTGCTCCTAGTAGTGAAGTCAGGAGCCTGTAGCAGCGTCCTTGCTCCTAGTAGCGATGCTCTTTGTTCCTTATAGGTTCTTGTTACTAGTAGTACGGCCAGGAGCCCCTAGTAGCGTCCTTGCTCCTAGTAGCGATGCCCTAATAGCGTCCTTGCTCCTAGTAGTGAGGCCAGGAGCCCCTAGTAGCGTCCTTGCTCCTAGTAGCGGTGCCCTTTGTTCCTAATAGCATCCTTGCTCCTAGTAGTAAGGCCAGGAGCCCCTAGTAGGGTCCTTGCTCCTAGTAGCGATGCCCTTTGTTCCTAATAGCGTCCTTGCTCCTAGTTAGTAATAAGTCCAGGAACCCCTAGTAGCGTCCTTGCTCCTAGTTGTTCTTAATGGCGTCCTTGCTCCTAGTAGTAAGGCCAGGAACCCCTAGTAGCGTCCTTGCTCCTAGTAGCGATGCCACGAGCCCCTAATAGCGTCTTTGCTCCTAGTAGTAAGGCCAGGAGCCCCTAGTAGCGTCCTTGCTCCTAGTAGCGATGCCCTTTGTTCCTAATAGCGGCGTCCTTGCTCCTAGTAGTAAGGCCAGGAGCCCCTGGCTCCTAGTAGCGATGCCCTTTTGCTCCTAGTAGCGGTGCCCTTTGTTCCTAATAGCGTCCTGGCTTCTAGTAAGGCCAGGAGCCCCTAGTAGCGTCCTTGCTCCTAGTAGCGATGCCCTTTGTTCCTAATAGCGTCCTTGATCCTAGTAGTAAGGCCAGGAGCCCCTAGTCGCGTCTTTGCTCCCAGTAGCGATGCTCTTTGTTCCTAATAGCGTCCTTGCTCCTAGTAGTAAGGCCAGGGGCCCCTAGTAGCGTCCTTGCTCCTAGTAGCGATGCCCTTTGTTCCTAATAACGTCCCTGCTCCTAGTAGTAAGGCCAGGAGCCCCTAGTAGCGTCCTTGCTCCTAGTAGCGATGCCTTTTGTTGTTAGTAGCACCCTTGTTCCTTGTAGCTATGTTGTGCAAACTTCTCTCACGTGGAAGAAGTAGCGCCAAGACCCATTGAGTCCTTGCAGGACCCAGGCGAAATTACTTCCTCTTCGGCGAACCGGTACCCACAGCCACTTGGCATCCGTTCTGCCGGAAGAACGGTCTCGCCGAATTCTGGAAAAGCCTGGCATTGATCCAGCGATGCCCTGATAGGAGAGCTTGCCAAAGAGACCACAAGAAGCAACTAACCTGTAAGAGTTAATAAAGGAGTATCGTCACAGCATGTTTGAGAAAGGCCTTGACTCATCATCATCATCATCATCATCATCATCATCATCATCATCCACTGCTACAGGGAATGGGATACACCCAAAGTAAGTGACCTATTCAGGTGAGACCAATGACACCAAGGTCATGGATAAGTTATATTCTGTATATATAGGATTTTGCTTGGTATGGGCACCGGTTGGGGACAGTGCACACTCAAACTTCTTGAAATCCAGCCTGCCTTCACTGCACAAACTTGGCGCTTTCTTCTCGGCAGCCATGGCGCAATGGGGGGAGACAAAGTCCAGCATCTATTCGCGCATATGCTCAATAGAATCCCGCAGCTCAAATGCTTCACTGCACTTGGTGTTTGTCAGGGCATTTGAGCAAGAGGATTTCTCTGAGTTCCTCAATTTGGTTCAAGGCTCCTTCGGAGGCGCTGACGAACTGGACGTGGCCAGTGCAACCACGGCGCTCCATCGGCTGGCGCGGCGTTGGTCACGCGAGGGCCCTGGATTGGCCGGATCTGACCGGTCCGTGAGACAGACGCTGGATGTCTTGGCATTGCTCAGTCGCTGATCTGGATCCACTCTACCATTTCTGGAGTAAGAAGGAGCTTGAGATTTCAAAACACACACACACACACACACACACACACACGCAAAACAACATTTAAAAAACAATATATAATATACACACGTCATTGTACATCCCTTTTCGATCTGTTGTGCAGCACGTCAGCTCGTTGCCTCCAAAAGGTTATTCTTTTTACGGTTTTTTGTGGCTGGTCAACTCGGCAAGTGAGGTCAATCTTTGGCGAAGACGTTTCGCTCCAAACCATTTGCTGGCAGTGGCCTCCAGCCGCGTCACATGGCCATCACCGCGTGGGCTGTGGCGTCTTTGATCCGTTGCCGTGCGCTGAAGCTGTGCGGAGCGGACTTCGCACGGCTGCTGGGGGCCTTGGGCGAAGCCGCGGTGCCGCAGTTGCCCGAGTTCGATGGCCAATCTCTCAGCAATTTGCTGTGGGGCTTAGCTGTGGCTCGCCAGGTGCACAGACGTGTGTTCTTTGTGGCGTCGCGCAGAGCCATCCAACTGCTGAAGAGAGGGGACCTTGTTGGGCAGAATCTGAGCAATGTCCTGTGGTCGTTCTCTCAGGCTCGTTTGCCAAATCATGCTCTCTTTGAGGAGGCGGCTCGCCATCCAGAAATCTTTGCAGAGTCTCATCAGCCTTCGCCCCAGCATATCACCAATATTCTGTGGGCCTTCTCCAGAATTCATGGTAAGATTGGCATGTTTCGGGATTTCTTCGATGCCGGAGCTGAAGCTGCAATCTCGAAACTACACCTATTTAAGACGCAGGAACTTGCAAACATACTGTGGACCTTTGCAAACCAGACACTCCATCACGATGGGCTATTCAGCGCTGTGGCCGACCATGCTCGGGGTAGGATTGCTGAGTTTGAGAACTTTGACCTATCTCAGCTGCTGTGGTCCTTCGCAAAAGTCTGGTGGCGAGACGAGGAGCTTCTGAGGGAAGCTGCCCAGGACATGCTTCATGGCAAAACACGGCGATTGAAGCAGATGTGCGCCCAAGACTTGGGTTGTGTCCTCTGGGCCTTTGCCATGCTTCAGTGGCAGGATGCGGGCCTCTTCGAAGCATTGGCACAGGCTGTGCGCCAGCATTTCGCTACCTTAAAACCATTGGATGTAGGCAACGTCGCTTGGGCTTTGGCAGTTTCTGAGCAGATGGATGTTCAGACGGCCAAGCTCATTGCAGACCACGTTCTTAGTGTCGCGGGTTTTGGCACGGCAGAAGGTTGGGTGCATATCCTCAGTGGGCTCCAGCCTCTTTCTGCAAGCTTGGGGAATTCACGCTGGGAATCCTTACTGTCTCGCTTTGAAGGGACCATCTTGAGACCACTTTGCCACTTGTCACCACAGGCTGTAAATTGCAACTTTTCACACTGTTCTCAAGGCCACATGGCTAACGGGCAAGTCAGTTTCAGTGTTTATCTCACACGGTCCAAGGCCAAAAACTCAAGCAGCTGCGTGGAACTTTTGCCGAACAGGACGAGAAAGTATCTGCCATGCGTCAAGAGTTGGCACTGCTGGAGGCTTGGGTTGGGGAGCTCCAGTTGGAGCATTTGGGGCCTGACTTCACTCAACGTCTGGCAGCTGAGTGCGAACTTTGGCAGCCCAGCAGGGCAGAAGAGGGTCGCGAGGCCATGGAGGAATTTTGGAAAACACAGCAAGCACAACCCACGCATTCCAGACTTGGTTCAACTGCAACACCTGGGGAGACTGCCAAGCAGTTTCGAGTTGGGCTGCACCAATCAAAGGCCAGGTGGCCAGACCGAGGCTGCTTGCTGCTTTAGTGTCATGCCGCAGACAGGAGCTAGCAGTGCTAGCAGTTAGCATCATAAGTTGTGGCCGTGGTTTGATGCTAAAGATCCTGACCCTGCAGGTCCTTGCTTGGGTTGCATTTTCTCTTGACCTGGAAGCCGACAATCAGAGAGCTTTCATCAGTGAGCCTGGCCAGATAGTCACTTATGGGCGGGCAGACCGGGAATTCTGCCCACATTGGCAGGCCAGCGGTTTATGCTTTTGACTCCATGTGGATGGTATATAATAGTGAATAGTGTTTACCGTAGATGTGTTTATAGTTTGCTACTTTGCATATTTGCCAGATATTGTCATGGAAGCGTAGGCAGCAGAAAAGCTCTTGATGCCCTTGACGACGACCTCGCACAGCCGTGGTGGTCATGCTGAACGGGTCGCCATGCTTCAGGTGGGTTGATTCGGTTGACCAGTTGGAAACCGAACATCCCCAAGTCGAGTCGGCCCGACTCGACTGAGAACGGACAACAGTCGTTCCTTCGGCCAGGTGTTTTCGGCGGCTCTGAAGTGTGCAGATCAACTCGGCACCTTTGCTCGAAGGGGAGCCCACAGGGCCCACGCCCCACCCGTGCCAGAGGAGCTGTTTCTAGGCGCCCATCTTCAGGGTCACTCCCATGCAGGCTCGGGGGCCGCTGTGAACCGAGGCGGAAACTGCGACCTCATGGGCGATGTTTGGCTTCACATCTCTCATTGGCCCTGTATCTCCTGCATGGCTGTGCTATGCCAGGTCTTGGCTTTGGCACCTGATGTGACTTGGCAAGTTCGGAAAGAACGTGAAAGAACGTCTGGGCATGGGTCTTTGAATGGGTGATGGGTGGTAGGCAGACCCACCAACCCGCGGACTCCGATAAATGGGTCTCCTAGTTGCAGAGCTGCTTCGGGGAAGGGTGATTTGAGACTGAAGACCTACATTTGGCAAATGGGGGATTTCCGTGACAGCTCATGGAAAGTTAATCATGAGTCCATGGTGCGTTCGGTGCACTTCCCACCTCTGATGCGGCGAGCGAGGTGCGTCTGCACGTCTCTTGGGAGGGCTTCACGCCTCACAGCGAGCCACACGCCCCGACGGGGGATGCGTGGACAGCCAGCGAGACCAAAAGCCGGGCGGGGGCGACCGGAAGGGGTGTAGGGCTGAAGGTCCAGAAGTGGACAGCTTGGCTATATTAATTGCTTCGTTTGTGACTGATCAGTCTGAATCTGAGGCTGAGGTTGACCACAAAGACCGCGCAGCGTGCGCAGAAATCTATTCTCAGATTCGCAGTGCTGTCAAGGCTGGATTCACCTCCGTTTTGTATGTTTCTTCAGTTTTTCAATTTCTTCAAATTTATCTCTACCCTGGGACCCTGGGTGACCTTGCGGGTTCCACGACACTTGTTGTTGTGGGGGAGGTCAAACATCAGCTTGTGGAGGTTGGGATGGACTACCTGTTGTCCGCACGTGAAGACGACCCCTTCGAGGACATGCCAGGAAGATATGCCTGGGAACAGGTCGGCAGTCGGGGCTGCAGATTCTGTTTTGAATGACTGAGTTGTCATATTCTGACACCTTTGTAACGGGTAACAGCTTCGAGTATGCTCGGGTGTGAGGAATATGCATGGTTCCGCGCGCTAGCTTTTTGTGAGGCGACTGGAGTCCAGGCGCCTTCATTTGATTTGCGGAAGTGGGGGCGTGTAGCCCAGGCTGGAGCCAAAGCATCGCCCACAAGCCAGAACTCCTTTTGGTCCTCGCCCGCAGCCAGGCCAGCGAAGCTTCGAACGGAGGGCCCTGACGATGGGCAGACGCTCCTCGCTCGTGGGCCACAGGTCCGTGAGTTGATGTGTGCGGGTCCCCTGCTTCGCCGGTGTCATGCATCGCCACTCCATGGCGCTGCCAATCTCTTTACACTGATCTTCCTGCTTTTCTGGAGCAGAGCTTTGCATTTTGCTATGCTTTGCTCATGGCTCCTCCGAACTTTTTAAGACTTTCCCGTGCCGGGATCTGGCAACACCTGCCAGGGCGGCAGGCTTTTCCTTGCAGCATCTGGAAATCTGGGCGTGCAGCCCCTCGTGAAACAACAAGCTGGCGATGTAAAATCTTTGAAGGACCTCCGTGATTGCAGAGTCTCAGGGCACGTGGAGCACTCTTGACATTTTTTTTGTCTGAGGTGGCTTTCCTCACATTTGGTCAGTTGAGTGCTTAGCCTTTAATTTTTTTGGGGCCTAGGGCCAGATACTGCCATGATACATTTTGGACATGCTCTGTAATTTAAAGGGGCATTTTCAGACCTTCTGCAGGAATGGCACGGAAAAACATCTGCCAGCACAGCGGCCGCGGACCCAAGAGTGTACGATTCGTGCATTTGTGAGTTGCGCTGCTGGAGGATAAGCTTGCTTAATCTTCAATAGCCGTGAAGCCGTCCAAGAAGCTGGTGGTGCTTTGATGTGGAACCACCAAGGGCCTCACAGCAGTCAAGGGCGGTGTCAGGTCCGTGCTCGCGTCTGCCTGCCTTCGTCCCTTCGACCCCTGGGCTGTTGGCCGCAGCGTCCCGTCCTTCCAGTCTATCCGAGTCCTTCGCGTGGGGAGCCCACCACGACCCTCAGTTGTTCCAAGAGAATGTCCAGAAACGGGTTTGCGATGTTTTTGTTCTTTTTTGTCCTCGGTTCCATTTTTGTCATTTCAATTCATCCATCCCAAATGGAAGACTCGGCACATTCGTTGGGATTCTTTGCCGAGATCGACTTGGCGCTGGTTGAGGAGCACAAAGCTCAGAAAACGGTACCGCGGCAATCTTTGAGCTTTGCCCAGCGTCCCTCAACCGAGGCTCTCCGATAAGGAATTGCAAGCACTGCAGCTGGCCCCAGTGCGACAAGAGGTACTGTACTCCTTGCCAGCCAACATGACATGGCAGTGGAAAAGGCTGCCCCAGAATTCCTTCGATCCCTTCCGTAAATGTTGGAGCGATTCAGTGGTGGATCCTGCAACACAGATGCCTGGCCGAGGCTGGCATGGCACTTTGGTCAGCTGCTCTTCAGTGCACAGGTGGGGGAGAAGAGCGAATGCAGGAATGCTCACCGGGTGCTTCTTGGAAACGTGAGGCCAAGGCATGGCAGCTCACGGGTGTCGCTCTGGCCGGTGGGGCCTGGAATGTGGGACAACATTTGCGTGCAAGCCTGAATGTGTGGAACCTTACTTCAAGACTCTTGAATTTTTGCTCTGAGGCACTGGTGACCTGCAAGCTGATCTCAAGGACAAGTGGTTTGAATCACATTCTGACCGTCACGGGGCCACTGATTCGTCAGAGTTTTTTTCCACTCCACGTTGTCGCTGAAAGTCAAGTCAGCTTGACGCTCTGAGATTTTTTGGCTCAGACGGCGAAGCCCATGAGCCTACTTTGCTACATAAACCGAACGGGGACAGATTCCGATCTCACTATTGAACATTTTCATACATTTCACTCTAGGCTTCTTTGGCAGGATCACGAAGAAACTGTCAAAGCAAAGAGACATGACTAACCGTCAAATGCACGCTTGATGCCATGGAAGCGAGCGAAAGCGATGAGACGGTCCTGGTGTTGGTCTCCCTGCTGAGTGGTGAAGCGCTGGCGGAGTTCGCAGCGCCCAAGCGTTCGACCGTGCTCGAGCTGCACTGGTCTCGCACATGGGCCATGGATGGCCATAGTCATGGTGCTGGTGCTCGCGTAGAGTTTCTTAATTAGGATGAGGGGGCCGTTGTGTTTGAAGTCGTGTGTAATATATATATATAGAGAGACACATACACGAATTGTTAATTTCAATGCGTACACATATATGTATATATATATACTGTATGTAATATACTGTCGACTAGTGACATAGGAGTTGTAAAACGTATGGTAGGTTTTACAACTCCTTTGTCATGGGTCTTAAAGCATTTTGAGCAATGTGCACAACTCCTATGTTATGTCATGGACTTTAAAGTAGAGAAACACATCAAAACATGATCAACCTCGAAGAGCTCTTAAAAAAAGAAAATGGGTGAACCTTTGGCCAACTGCAAGGTTCATGACGTGAAGACGCGATTGCGGGAACCTTGGCATGCAAGAATGCTTTCGATTTGAAGCAACTGTGGCATGAACGGATTATGGATCCACGCGTTTCTGTTGCTGCCCATAGCAACAATGGACAGGGCACAGAGCGAAACTGCCTGGACCAAGGATCAGGAGGGAACTCCTGTAAGAAAGCAGCAGCTGGTCTATGGGTGTGACATCCTGCCTGATACAGTTTGCCTGGCTGAACTCGGCTCCTCTGACAAGCTGGAGCCATTGCTTTGCTGGCCTTCACGTGCGAACAATTGATTCAAACCTTTCCTTCCAACTAACTAGCTGGGGTAGAATCTGCGAGGAGTTGCGCCTGGTCCGGAAAGAGGCAATCAACTTCCAGTGGCAGGCCACAGTTGGAGATGGAAATTGCATCACAAGCCCGGAGTGGTGCACCTCGGCTTGGTGAGGTTTGGGTGTGGTGGACGGCGGGGAAGGCCACAAGATTGAAAGAGTCTCAGAGCTTTGAAAAATTTTGGGCTTTGCGGTGTGTGTGTGTGCCCCTTGTAGTCACAGGGATTCTTTTGAATTGAATTCAATTGTTTTGTTTTACCATGAGCAGGGGGGCACAGGAGGCCCATAGAGCTGTGCCCAACGAAGCTCTCTATGGTGACCTCAGGATATGCAGCCTGATCAGCTGCACGTACCTGCTGTTTGAACTTTTGAACAAGCTTTGACTCCAATTTCCAGTAGAGTGCCAATGAGCTTGGCAGACATGAGCGCACGACGTCATCTCGACCTGCTCGTCGCTTTCGGTCTTGAGCTTTTGGCCCTTTCTCCTTTTGAAGACCTCCAGGCTCCATAGGGCTCTCCTGGACTTTTCAGGATTTGGTTTCTTAGGCTGGCGTGTGGCATGTGGCATTCAGTTCCGTACGCCCAATCATAAGTGTGTCTCTACTGAATTCCAAGCTGGGCTGGCTCGTGCCTTTACGTGACCGCAGCGGTCTAAGCAGCCAGCCATTTTGGCACGGCGTACGTGGCCGTAGCGGCCCAAGTTTGTTTTAGACTTGTCGCGACCTTAGCCCCCTTCCTCCTCCCCTCCCCTCCCCTCCCCTCCCCTCCTCTCTCCCCCTTTTTGTCATCTTGGGGTGTTCCTGAATGTAATACTAAGGTTCACCCCTCTCTCTCACTGGTGTGTCCCTGGACCCTTGTGCGTAGCTGGGAACACCTGTCCTCTTCCTTCCCTTTTCCCTCTCTCTCGCTTTTCTCCTTCCTTTCCTTTCCCTCCTTCTTGTTTGGGTGTCCCTGGCCCTTCTCCTCTCTTCTTTTGGTGTGTCCTTGGACGCTTGTGTCGTAGCTGGGAACACCTTCCCCCTTTCCTTTCTTCTCTTTCTTTTTCTCTTCTCTCCCTACCCCTCCCTCCCGTCGGGACCTTAGAGTGGGATGCTACTAGGGGCTCCTGGCCTTACTACTAGGTGCAAGGACGCTACTTTGACGCTACTAGGGGTCCCTGGCCTTACTACTAGGCGCAAGGACGCTCTAGGGCAGAGATGCCTTCCTTTGGGGAGGCGTGCGTGTGTGTGTGTGTGTGTGTGTGTCACACCCTGGTTCCAAGGGCTTTCAATTTTTCACCCCT